GCACTATGCTACCAGAGCTCGAGCTCCTTAAACCATATGTAATCTAAATAAAGACAATTGTAAACTGCCTCCAGGGCTCCATTTGTGTGTGTGTGTGTGTGTGTGTTTATGTGTATGTGGGTATGTATATGTGTACATGTGTGTGTATATACGTGTGTATATACACGTATGTATGACTGTGTATGTATAAAGGAGCTCAGCTGGTATAGTGGATAAAGCATTTGGCTGTTAACCAGAAGGTCAGCAGTTCAAACCCATCAGCTGCTCCATAGAAGGAAGATGGGACATTCTGCTTCCGTAAAGATTTACAGCCTTGGAAACCCAACGGGAATAGCTATGAGTCATAATTCAGTTTGATGACAGTGAGTTTGGTTTATGGTTGTATGTATGTATATATGTACGTGTATATACATTGCAGCTTTATGTGATCAAGATAATCTTTAATATTCGTGAATTCTAAACATAATATTTTGTATCAGTTTTATCTATAAAAATGCAAAGCCACTTATATTGCTCCTTTTTTCTTAATTGCATATTTGTTCAGCCCCCTGTCAGTATATCAGCATTTACAGGGTTCATATGACAGCTGTTGGGGAGGACCCTGGCTGGAATGCGTGGGTCAGGGGCAGTGGCTAGGCTTATGAAAGGTTGGTATGTTTGTCCTTTTTTTCTTTTCCCCCGATTTATCTAAAACTTTGTTCAATCCTGTTTTCTTTCCACATGGAGAAGAGAGTAACATAAATTTGTAATGTGTTTGGCCACCTTAGGAGAGACTTGGGCCTTTTACTTCTACCCAGAGAGAACAAAACCAAAGGTGTCACTTGGTTGTACTTTTCTTCTCCTCACTTTGACCCCTCACCCCTCTTTAACCAGCACAGCCTAGACTTAAAGCAGTGAGAATTTTCAGCAAGCTGCCTCTTAGGCTTTGATTTATCTTTTTCAAATCCATAGGCAAATTTTACTTCTTAGAACTAAAACCAACTCAACTGTTCTTCTATGCTATAGTTGTATATATAGCTCCCCAGGTACCATCCATTTGTCTCTGTCCCTTTAGCTTTCCTTTTCCATACAATGTTATTGCCTAATTTAGTGAGTCAGAGGTATTCAGGTGAGTTTCGTTGTTGCCACTACTGTGTCAGGAGTTCCCCGTGGCTACCCAGGTACTGTGACACTGAAAGGACTCACAATACTCCCATATATTCATACTCATGGCTATTATTTATTACAGTAAAGGGTACAAAGCAACACCAGCAATGGGACATGAAGTGAAGTTTGATGGGAACCAGTGTGAATTTTCCAGGGTCCTTCCAGTGAAGTCACTCAGGATGTGCAAGTTTTGACAAAACTTGTGAAATGTTATCTTCCACAGGAGCTCATCAGAGACTCATCTCCCAGGGTTTTTAATTGGGGCTGATCATACAGGCACCCTCTGCCTGACATGCACCAAGATTGCACAGTACCATAATCAAATTTTGTTAATTTCCTATTGTTAGACATTTAGGTGATTATCTTTTTTCTGTGATGAAGTCTTTGTAACTTAATAATTATACATATTTTTAGATAATTCCTAGAAATATAATGAATAGCTTTTCTGACTATATTTGTATTTTGTCTTTGCTTTTTTTCTCTTTTTAACCTTAGATCTAATGCATAATTTTTTAGTTTTTATTTCATAAATAAAAGATACATTATGGATTCTTTAATATTATCTTCGTCAGTATCTTTTTTTTTTTACGTGTGTGTGTTAAAATTAGGAAACTGTAGTAACTTTATGGCTCAATACTGTTTTTGATGGTCTGATAGGCCCTAGTTCTGACAATGTAGAAGAAGATATGAATGCATCTGCCCGAGGAGCCTCAGCCACTGTCCTGGAAGAAACAAGAAAGGAGACGACTCCTGTGCAACTCCCCGTGTCAGGCCCTGAACTGGCGGCTATGATGAAGATTGGAACCAGGGTCATGAGAGGTGTAGACTGGAAATGGGGAGATCAGGTATGCAGAAGTTTCATTAACACACCAATCATACATTAGTCACCACCTAGACATTCTGATTTATATAATACTAGCGGTAAAAACGGGAATAAATCCTACCTGAATTCAGAACAAAGTGCAATTAGTAAATAAGATAGGATGACAGAATTGGTGACTTAGTAGAGAAGAACATGGCCTACTTAGAGATACTAAATCAGTGGCGCTTTACAGAAAACTTTACTGGCACGTGGCTTACTTGATGCATAGCTAGAGCAAGAGTGAGGGTGAACAAAAGAGGGGAAAATACGTCTTCTGAACAATAGTAATTGAAAGCACTGAGACAGAAGATGAGCATCATGGACTGTGATCCCAGCATTGCAAGTGTGTGCAATATATCTCTTGTCGGGTGGGGACCCAGTTTTCCGTCTCCTTGTAGCGTGACCCTTCTAAATCTCTGTTAGATCCTCCCAGATCGAAGAAGATTATTCTATGGTTGGGTGTGGCTGGTGTCCGCACTTTTCTAAAATGTGGTCATATTCCTGTCATGTCTAGGTTTCTCAACCACGTTTTTTTAAGCATGGGCATCTCTAGTATCCTAACATCCTGGGTCAGGTAGCAGCCTCTTAAGAACAGGGATCTCTGATAGAAATGGGAGACGGTGGTTCTACACTCTAGTCCAGATGGAAAAATGGAAGAGCAGGAACATGGAGATGCCAGTGCTTACTGAAATCTTTTCAAGCACTGTGCATGCTATAGAGGACTGTGAGAAAGACTGTTGCAGCCACAGTGAAAAGCGCCATTTCTGCATTTGCTTAGAGAGGATTCTATTTGAGATGGTTCTTTTTTCTTTGACTCCTTTAGTAAAATGATGAGGGTTAGTAAAGATTTTGAGTCCTAAGTGATGCATACTACTAGCTTGACTACTAGCTAAAAGATTGACAATTTGAACCTACCCTGTAGCACCTTGAAAGACCGGATGATCTGCTTCCAAAAAAAAAGGTATAGTCTATGAAGTATGGGTCCACTGTGATGCACGTGGATCCCCATGAATCAGAATCAACTAAATGACAACTAATAATGATGCAAAAATTATATCACTTTTTAAAGTACAAGAGTAATTATCCCAGAAGGGAAGAAGAGAGAGTATGGGCAAGTTATTTCTTGGCATTTAATTTGAAGTGATGATCCTAGATGTGTGTTTTGTGATAGAGTTAGAACTAGTTGTATTAGTAGGAAGTTTGTGTGCATTGATGTAACTCACTTTGCAGGGAGAGTGGTTAACTGGAGACCGCAGTGCAACAGTCTCTGGTGGGGACACTGGAGAAGGCTGGGCAGGACATCCTATGTGCAGTAATCATTATTTTGATTTTCTCAGGATGGACCTCCTCCTGGCCTGGGCCGTGTTATTGGTGAGTTGGGAGAGGATGGCTGGATAAGGGTCCAGTGGGACACAGGCAGCACCAACTCATACAGAATGGGTAAAGAAGGAAAGTATGACCTCAAGTTATCAGAGCTCCCGGCTTCTGCACAGCCCTTGGCAGTGGATTCAGACACCGAGGATGACTCCGGTGGGTGATTGAAGGTGGCACATTTTTTCCAAATACTGACAAGCTGTCATTTACAGTGATTTTGTAGATGTGGGTCTGTCTTCTGATCTGCACTTTTAAATGAGATCCCAGCTTTCTGATGCAGGTGTTCCAGCTGGAACTGGAAACCAATGATCTGACTGGAACACCCTTTGGTATCTTTTTCTTTGATTGCTTTAGTAAGGCCAGGTGATGCAGATGGTCATTTCCCCTGTCTGTACTGTCTGCAGTTGGCCAGGAGCCCATGACTGGTGCTTACTGAATTTGTCACACAGTAGGTGCTTCCTTACCAGCTTCTTTCTTTACTGCTACTGGCCCTACCAAGTGCAGACGCCCTTTCTTGTCCTTTCATTTTCTTCCATTGTCCAATACTCAGAGGGTATATATGCGTGTGTGTGTGTATATGTATGTGTATGTATATACATGATTAAGTGATTCACTGACTGACTGACTGCCATCGAGTTGGGTCTGACATAGCAACCTCTCCTTAGGTTTCTGAGGCAGTATCACTACAGAAGTAGATTGCCCAACCTTCCTTCTGAGAGGTGGCTGGGGGCTTAGAACTGCCAGCCTTCTGGTTAGCAGTCAGATGCCTTAGGCACTGTGCCACCAGAGCTCCTTAATTGATACAGGGAAAGTAGAAAGTAGAAATGATACAGGGGATTTGGGGGTAACCGTGGAAGAACATCCCAATGTAAGGGACGGGGTCCTCATGACATTGGCTCAAAGAAGCAGCTTGTCAGGCTAAATTCCCTATGGCTGTCTAGAAGACCATTCTGGCTCTTGGCACACAGGTTTGGCAGTGCATACACTGGCTCTGGCTCCAAATAGAAACCATTTTTCTGATAGGATGAACCCCCTTGCAAAAGAGGTAGTATTGAGGGCTGGTGTTAGGTGTGCCACTTAGCAGCAGTGCAGTCACAGTACTGCCCATGGAATTTGAGTCCTGTAGGCTTGCCTCGGATGCTCTGTGCATACCCTTCTGGGAATCCTGGCCTCTTGTGTGTAAAAAAGGGTAATGCTCATCTTGTACGGCTGTGAGGAAGGAGCTCTGGTGGTATAGTAGTTAAAACATTTTGCTGCTATCCAACAGTTTGGTGGTTTGACCCATCAGCCACTCCATGGACGAAAGATGGAGCAGTCGGCTTCCATAAAGATTTATAGTCTTGGAAACCTGATGTAGGTTCCTATGAGTCGGAATCAACTCAATGGCAGTGAGTTTTGTTTTTTGGAGGACTGGTGAGCATAACATATAGAGTCATGTAATCATTGAATAGCATCTAGTGCTCTCTTTACCATTATTATTATATTTAGCCTTATAATGTATAGCATCAACTGGTTGCTGCCACCCTTCTGTCTACTCTCTTGTGAGGAGGAGAGCAGATCTGACTTTCTGTTTGAGAAATTGACTCACGGTGTAATTCAGATCCTTGAAGAATGGCTGTTAGAAGTGAGGGCTCTGTTGGCACATCTCCCTACTCCTTAGAGCCAGCAGGTCTCAAGTGTGAGATGCTGGGCCTGCACTCCTGTGAGTACAGTGTGTTCTGTCCTCACCTGGGCTGTTAGGTGAGTTCACTCAAAGGCAGCTTTTGACATTTGATTATTCTATTATCATTTCTTAAGAAATGACTCTCTGAAGTGATTTTAGCACTTAGATTGTTTTTAAAAAATTAAACATTATTTACAAGATGAAGGAGAACAGGAATGGATAGGGCAGTGCTCACTGTGCTTCAGTTCTATTCTTATAAGATATGCTTCCCTTTCCCACGTAATAAAGAGCAAATAATGTAATATATAGATCCATTAAAGTATGTGTGAAGCCATTTTCCAATTATATTTCAAAGTATGCTGCTTTCTTATTTTTTTTTAGAAGGAGAACAAATTGAAAGGAACATTCATCCTACTTCAGTGATGCTTAAAAGTACTGTTAATTTACTACAAACTCTTTGTCTTTCTGCTGGAGTATATGCTGAAGTCATGCAGAATGAAGCCACTAAGACTTTGTGTGGACTGCTCCGCATGCTAGTGGAAAGTGGGACAACAGACAAGACAGGCATGTAATGAATCATTGTGGGCCACAAAAGTCAGTATTTGGGGACTGTAATTTTGTTGTGTGAGTGAATGTGTTTGAGTGTGGGGAAGTGAGTGCATGACTGAGTGCCTGAATATATGTCTCAGTATGTCATTGAAGGTGTGTGAGTGACTGCTCATTAATGTGTCTGAACATAAATTCATGTGACTGTGTGAGAGCATGCCTATGTGTGCATCTGTGAGTGTGCCAGTGTAATGAATGTGTCAGTGAGTGTGAGTGAACGTGGTGTGATGGGCATATGTGACTGCATGTTGGAGTGAGGAGTATTTGAATGTGAGCATATGTGCGAGTCACTGTGTGTGTGTGGCTTTATGAATCTGTTAGTGAATGTGTGTGTGGGTTATGAGTAGTGGGTGTGTGTGAGTGCATGCGAGTGAGTTTGTGAGTGTATGTCTTACGCTGAAAAAGGTGGGAATCATTGTAGTCCTCATGAGCAGAAGTGAGGGTGAAGGGAGTTAAGGTAGGTGAGCCTGTCTCTCAGTCCTGGGGCGTTACCCTTGGGAAAGTCCAAGGAAGGGGTCAGTCCTATGATGAGATTCCACCTTCAGAGTCCCATGCTCAACTGAGGGGAGAGGTGACTGACTACGAATAGAACTTGGAAGAACAGGAGTAGCAAACATGGTCCTTTGGTATTTTATAGTTACGTCTGAGTCATTTGAGCACTTATATAAACATAGTAATAACCTCTTAATGTATACTTTTTAAACTTAGGTTGGAAATTTATGATATAGATTAGATACAAACAAGATCATACAGAATATTTAAAATGTATGAGGTTTTTAAATAAAATAGATGTACTCACAAATAATTGCTATTTGAATTATTTTTTTCCTATTGCCTAGAGACATTAAATAGATAAAATTCATATACTAATTGGAGTCACTACATATATGTTGAGGATATTTAAAATGTTTAACTGTTGTTTGAGCTACATTGAAAGTCTTTTCCCACTTCTCTCATTTTGAATTATTGAAATTATAATATATTTGTAAAGTACCTTATAGTTGAAAATAAAACAGTATGTAAAATAAAACTAGAGTTTTTACTGATAATTTGTTTTAAAATATTTGGTGCCAAATAGATTTATTTTTGTTTTCACAGTTCTACCGAACAACCTAGTATATAGAGAGCAGCATAGGAGCTGGTGTACGCTTGGGTTTGTGCGGAGCATTGCTCTCACACCACAGATGTGTGGTGCCCTTAGTTCCCCACCCTGGATCACCCTGCTAATGCAGATCATGGAAGGGCATGCACCTTTCACTGCTGCATCACTGCAGAGGCAGGTAACTGCACTCTAGTTGGCTTGTGCTGCGTGTGGCTGTGGGGACTATACAAAGCTACAAAAAGTGGCATCAGAATACCAGGCATTGGTGCAATTAGGTGCCTTACTCACTAATGGATCATAGTGAGAAAGAGAAGTACAGTAACACTAAATGGATTTTTCACAGGTGTAGGTTTGAAGTCTTTTAGAGGAATGGTTTGGCATTGAGTGAGAGATTTAATTCCCACCCATTGCTGTCATCTGCTTCATTGGAGCTATGTTATGATTGTCTGCAAAGAATTCATTTTTTATAAAAGAAATGAACACCTACATATGTAATGTAGGTTATTCTTTTAACCACTGATTATGCATATCATTAATCAACTTGGGTGTAATTATTTGGTTGTAAAATAATATCCCATTTTTTTCATGTGATTGTTCAGAGAGAAAATAAAAATATGTAATCTCTTCATCTTTCAGCTAATGGTTTTCTTGAATGCTCCTTATTTTAAACTGTCTTTTATTAGATCTTAGCTGTACATTTATTGCAAGCAGTACTTCCATCATGGGACAAGACTGAGAGGTCAGGAGATATGAAATGCCTTGTGGAAAAGCTGTTTGGTTTCTTGGGCAGTTTGCTTACTACATGTTCTTCAGATATCCCACTGCTCAGAGGTAGGGTGGCCCTCCTCCTGCTTTGTGTCCTTCAGAGTAAGCAGTGCACAGTACAGCTCCTCTTGTGTTTCTCTTGCAGAATCCACTCTGAGGAGAAGGAGAGCCCGTCCGCAGGCCTCCCTGACAGCCACTCACAGCAGCACTCTGGCAGAAGAGGTGGTGGTACTGCTTAGGATGTTGCATTCCTTGAGTCAGTGGAATGGACTCCTAAACAAGTACATCAACTCTCAGCTCCACTCTATCACCTTGGATGCAGAGAAGCAATCAGAAGGGGTAGTTTCTGCATTTTAAAATAAGTTTGCTTTTCTTTATAGAATGTTAATTTAACTTAAAAATGTTTTTTTAAAATGCTATGTATTTGTTCAAAGATACATTTTTAAATGTGTTTTACAGAAATAATTATTAAAGAAGCTAATTTAAAACTTAACCTAATTGTTAGTACTTCTGTGAAGAGTAGGCAACTCCACAGATGTCCCCCTCAAGCTTACTGTCTGCTGTGTGTGCTAGGTCTTGCTGGAGGACCGGTTCCCTAACTCTGAGAGCCCTGAGGTGGGTGGCCTCATGGCTGTGCTGGCTGTGATTGGGGGAATTGATGGCCGTCTGCGCCTTGGGGGCCAGGTCATGCATGATGAGTTTGGAGAAGGCACTGTCACGCGCATCACTCCAAAGGGCAAAATCACTGTGCAGTTCTCCGAGATGCGGGCATGTCGTGTTTGTCCACTGAGCCAGCTCAAGGCGGTAGGTGGGCTTTTTCTGGTAGCTTCAGGTCATAAGTTAACTAGACTTCATGCTGCTGCTGAGTTCTCAGTGAACTCATGAGAGAACTTGGTTATGGTATGTCTTACTTCCCTTTTGAGAAGCACTGACTTTAGGAAAACCATTTCATTTCTTCCTTTGATTGTTTGGCGTTCATATGGTAAGTGGGTCTTTTTCATAGAATTTTATAGAGGTCATATGTCTTCCTTTAGCCTCAAACACATAAAAAGGTTATTAGAGAGATCCAAAGGATCTGCCAACTCAGGACCATAGTATTGGAGGATACCAGACTCAATTGGCACAATAAAATATATAAAAATACTGTTCCACAGCTTATGTTGGTGAGTAGCGATTGGGGTCTAAAAAGTTTTCAAGCAGCTATCTACGATGCAGCTAATGGTCTCCTATCGTCAGAAGCGAAGAATAGTAAAAAAAAACAAGAGCATTTGGAAGCACATCAGTCCTAGGACATAATGGACCTCAAGACCAGAAGAACTAGATGGTGCCCGGCTACCAATGCCAGCCATTAGGGAAGGGATTAAAACTAGAGATTCTGGATAGAGGGGAGGGAAAATGTGAAACAAAATCCAAAAACACAGTAATCACCAGAATTACTGGTTGGATGGAGTCTGGTGGGACCCCAGTACTATGGCTTTGGCATACACTTCAGGCCTGGAATAAAACTCACTCCCAGGGGCTGGCTCTCAGTCAAGTAGTAAATAAGATGTACACCCAGACCACTTAACCTAGGGTGATACACCCACATACTGTATGGAAATGCATCCCTTGAAGCAATTGACCATGGAGTACCAGAGGGACAGCATTCCCACGGAGGAAACGCAGGACACACAGGAGTGCATAACTTTGAGGGACACGGGGGTGGGGCAGGTTACTGGGCAGGGAGGGGAGGAGACCGGATTAGGGTTGGGGATGATAATTGGGGAAAAGATAAAAAATATTTAAAAAAAAATCTGTATTGTTTTGTCTTTGGTTTCTGTGGAATGACCATTTCCTTACTACTCCTCTATCTTTTTGATCTCTCTGGAAAAAAAAGGCTATTAGAAACTTTAATGTCTTTTTATAGGACACTTTATTTTAAAATACAGATTTATGAGGTTTTTTTGTATTATTGAAAACTCAACTTTTAAAAAATTATTCTCTTAAAACTTGTGCTGTATGAGATGACTTATGTAGTAGTTACTGTCACCTTAAATCTGTGAATCTGTACCTAAAGAGAGTGAAAGGAGCTCTGGTGGTGTAGTGGTTCAGGAATTTTGCTGCTAACCAAAAGGTCAGCAGTTTGAATTCATCAACTAAGTACAATTTTAATATATCTCTATAAAATAGTATTTGATTATACTAGGAATGTATATGTACTGTAGACGGTTTGATACATAGAAAACACTAAAGGATAACCATCACCCAGGTGTAGTTATTGTTGGTAAGTTGGTAAAAAAAAATTAATGTTGCCGTGATTATATTTATTGAACATAAACCTGTAAGTGTGCATTAGATGTCATTTTTTAAAGTTATTATTGTCAAATACGAAAAAAACCTGTAGATAGAAGTGGCATTTCAGAATCAAGACTGTAGTTAATATAATTTTAAAAATAGTTTTATTATTAATTTTATTGGCAACATTTTGAAGGTTTATATTCCCTCCCTTTAGCTCCCAGCTGTGGCGTTCAGTGTGACCAACCTGCCTTTCACGGAGCCCATGCTCTTGGTGTGGGCTCAGCTGGTGAACCTCGCGGGAAGCAAATTGGAAAAGCACAAAATAAAGAAATCACCTAAACAGGCCTTTGCAGGTCAGCATGTGGTCCTTCTGATGAAATAGCTGCTTGGGCTTGATGAATGTTGCTTGGGCAATGCTTGCCATTTTGTCAGAGAAAATTCATATCACTACGTGTTTGGGTTCAAACTGATTTGCTGAAGTCTTTGGAATTGTGGTTGGGAAAGTAGCATTGTGTTTTGTGATAGGCGTGTTTGTAAGAATCATATGAGTCAGCCATGTTCAGAGTGACCCTGGAGAACCTTCTCTCACTGCTTTCTTCTCAGTGCTATTTCTTCTCAGTAGGCTTTTAAAGAGGTTCCTGTGTTCTCTTCGCTCACTTCTGTTAACCTTCAGCCCTGACACCAGCCACTTGGTTGAAGCTTTTGCTCATGACCTTCTCACTGCCAGACCTTGTAGGCCTGTGTTACTGGATCCTTTCTGTACACACTTTATTAGCTCTGGGCTTATAAGGCTATGGTGGCTACTTTTTCTTGAAGTCTTTCGTTCCGTTGGGTCGGAATATTGCTCTCTCAATTTTCCTCTGCCTTACCATTACCCCTTGCATGTGCTTTGGGGGTTTCTTCTCACTGGCCATTCTTAGACTTAGGGAAACTTTGTGGTTTCATCTGTAACTTCTGGCTCGTTCTGTCTTCTCTTCTTGAGTCGTCTTACCCATACCCATGGTGGCTACATCTTTTATGATGGTGACCATCCTCAGTTCTGACTCTCTAGTTCACATCTCATTGATCTGCCTTCTGGACATCTCTGACTGGAAGGTCAAACTGCTTGTAAATTACAGCATGTCCAGAATTCAGCTGATTTTCTCTACCAGCAAGCTGGCTCTTCTTCCTGCTTCCTGTCATGATGAATAAACCTGTTGGCTAGGTGAACAAGCCCAATCAGGAGAGTTTCCCAATCCCCACCCGCTCTCCTCGAGTGCCTCATGCTTTCATGGCCTCAGGCTGTGCCCTGACTTGGGCTTTGCTGCCTTCCTTCATTTCTAGCCCTGCCTGTTGTCTGCTGCATGGTTGGGATGGCTTCCTTTGTCTACCTGCCTTTTGCTCATGTCATAAATGTGTCATTTGATCCTGTAGATTGCCATGCTTTCTATAATGTAAAAGAACTGTATGTTGTGTGTATTTCATGAAGTTTTCTCAGAAGAGTCTTGGGCTAAAAGGTGAAATTATTTTGTCTGTGACCTAGGAGTTTGGTTAAAATTTTGGCAGTCTTGGGAACATTTGATTATAGTTGTAATAGGTAACATGGTACTATGAGTTGGAAGCAAAGTGCCTTCCCCTGACCAGATAGCAGGACAGGTAGCACTCATGGATTGCTTTCTCCTGTAGGACAAGTGGACCTGGACCTGCTGCGATGCCAGCAGCTGAAGCTGTACATACTGAAAGCAAGTCGTGCACTACTTTCCCACCAAGATAAACTTCGGCAGATCTTATCCCAACCAACTCTTCAGGAGATGGGAACTATTCATACAGGTATCTTTTTTAAAATAAGTACTTATAGATGTGTAAGAAAGGCAAAAGTCTCTAATTGGAAAAAGGCAAAGGACATACCAAAAAATTGATAAAAGGAGAAATATCAATGGTATAGAAATGCACAGAAAAAGTTTTGGCCCACCCTCTAATGAGTGAGCTGTAGATGACATCATCCCTTATGAGACAGAGAAGACTGACGATATCTGGTAGGTAGAAGTGGAGACAGGTTCTCATAGGCTTTGCTGTTTAAACAAAAGTCCATAGGCCAGCAGCATCGATGGCACATGGGAACATGCTAGAAATGAGGATGCTCAGACCACACCCAGGCCCAAAGAATCAGAATCTGTGTTCTAACAGAACCTTCAGATGACTGGGATGCACACAAAGCGCATAGCTTCAATACAGGGCTGGTGGGATTTAAATTGGTACAGCTCTCTTAGGGGAACATTTGAAGAAATGTATCCAACTTGGGACAGCATGTCATCATCTTCTGGGAATTTATTACAGAAAAGGGAAGAAGATGCATGTGTATGGATGCTCATGATAGCTTCTTGTTGGTATTTTTACATAGAAAAACTAGAGACAGCCTAAGTGTTTACTATTATATGGTATATTCATGCAGTGGGATACCATGGAGCTGATCAAAATGAAATATGAAAATGACAAAATAAGTAAACAAGAAAAGCATCTTGTTATGTAAATTTGTTTGTCAATATGCATTGATTCATTTGTTTACCAAAATAGTTACAGTTCTCATTGAGTGGTGAAATGTTAGCTGACTCTGTTTTCTGTTTACTTGTTGGAATTACTTCAGTTTTCTGTAAGGAGCTGCAAGTTATGAAATGTTCATTGGCTGTCTGAAATTGACCAACATTGTGCTAAGTATTGTGGTGAACATAAAAAGAACAAGATAGTCATTATTTGTGATATTACACTTGGATTAGTGTGGAGAGAAAAAGTGAACACAAGTGGCTCTGTCTAAGTTTCCCATGGATCCATATGCCAGGTGTGGTCCTGGGAAGAAAGACCGATGAGAGCATGGGAGGGCACCCTTTGGGGAACATGGTAGACGATCTGGAGGGGGAGGTGTCTCAGTCCTGGTGAAGGCAGCCATGGGGCACACAGGGAAGCAGCAAGTTTTGGGGAGAATACTAGGGTACTCTGCTTTGCATGGCAAGCATTCGGGATTTGTAACTGGGAGGTATGAGATGCAGATGAAGATATTGTGGAGATCGTGTGGCAGGACACCAAGGTGAGACTAAGGTCAGCTTGGAAAGCTGTGGCAGGGGAAGTGCATGTTAAAGATTGGAGTTCAGTATAAAAATCTACTAGTGAGGTGTATGAATATTGAAACACAGTTAATAGTGATGGAGGATTTGCTCTTGTGTCAGTGGTGAGGTGTTTTCCTAGGAGGACATTGAAAATGGAAAGAAAGGATAGTCTTTTAGATGATAACGTTATGGGTAACCTGTGAAATACCAAAGATGGTTGATGTTTCAAGCTTGGGTTATTGGAAAGAGTGAGCAGTGCCTTTGACAAAAATAAGAAAGCCCAGTGCTTTGTTTACTAATTTTAAGAGGAGGAGATACTGTGAATTTAATTTTAAACATGCTTAGGTTGAAATAAACTGAAACTGTAAATTCATTCAGTGTTGGAGATGATAGGGACCTTAACGGTAATTTTTGTAATTGTAGATCATTAGGAAATTGATTCCTAGGAACTGAAATGGCATTCTGTGATCACACTAACGAATAGTTAATGGCAGAGTTAAATCAGGATGACTGTCCTGTGCTTTTGGCATAGTAGGATATCCACACACAGCTGTCCAAAGCAGGATTGACAAATACTGTGGCCACCTGTTTTTATCAATAAAACATGGGAACACAGCTGTACCTATTCATTTACAGTTCCTCTTTCGCTACTCTTGCTCTACAATGCAGCTATGTTAGCCTATAAGCCTAAAATATTTACTATTTGACACTTTAAAGAAAAATTTGCCTACCCCTGGTCTGGAGTGTTAGTTGAAGTTGTCATCAAGCATTACTGTGGCTTGAAGGACTCAATTTGTCATGTAAATTGTGTGAACTGGGCTTAGAGAGTAGTAGATATTAGAAGGACTATGGCAAACAGGAAAATCTTAAAGGTCTCATTAAAGCTATTTAAAGCAAACATAAAGACATGCTGACCAGGTGATACATCGTTGAATTGGTGTCACTTTATGATCTGTGAACAAGAGTTAGCTGGAAATACAGTCTTAGGATGTGTTTGTAGAAGACATTCTACAGAAGTGGATACCAAGAAAGAGGAAATGTGAAAACTAGACAAGGCAGGAATCTGGTCAGTAACTTTTTTTGGCATTCAGATGAACTGATGAAGGACCAAACCAAAACCGAACCCACTGCCATCAAGTCGATTCTGACTCATAGCGACCCTGTCGGACAGAGTAGAACTGCCCCTTAGGGTTGCCAAGGCTGTAAATCTTTACAGAAGCAGACTGCCTTATCTTTGCCCTGCTGGTGGGTTCGAACCATTGACCTTTTGGTTAGCAGCCGAATGCTTTAACCACTTGCCACCAGAGCTCCTTTGATAATGGAGACCAGAAAGCAGGGAGTGGGAGGGTGGCTCTTACTTGCTTTCTGAATCTTGAAGATTTTGATTTTCTAGCATTTGATTTTGTAGGAACCATCTCTGATCACCAGGGTTTAATGTGTATAATGCAGTAGTAATATACTTGAGTTTGAAGATAAAATGTTGTACATATTTTGTTTTTAAATTCAGATGATGGAGCTGCTACATCCCCTGACACCGGGGACATGTCTCCTGAAGGGCCCCAGCCCCCCCTAACCCTCTTGCAGCAGTTACTGGCATCAGCCACCCAGCCATCTCCAGTAAAGGCCATATTTGATAAGCAAGAACTGGAGGTACAGTTGTGCAGAATTGTTTGGTTTTAATCAGTGTACTAAAATGTGTGAACATTTTATCTAGATTTATATTTTCTTAAGGATATATTCTGAATTTTGAATGTTGTACCAAAATAATTCTTATGGGTCGTTAGGCTTCAACTACAATTTGCATCATAAATAAATATCATAATAAAGGTTAGAGAAAGAGAGTTTAAGTAAGTTTAAACTTATTTTGACTTTGTGTAAATTGTTTTAAAAAGTAAGTAGATTCAATGTATGTTAAATACTTCCATGTTCAGAAGGAAGTATTGTTCTTGAGGGAGCCTCATTAGATCTAGGGATATCACAGTTGCTCACTTGTTTTATTTATTCAGAAGCCTTTTTTGAGGATGCTTTTCTGCTCTTTTTTGTCTTGTCCTTAAGGGTCTTGCTGGCCTAGTGGACTGTGGGGCACAGAGCTATGCTGCGTGACACAGCTTGGGCTGTAGGAGGTGTTTGATCAGGTCTCATATAATGGGACTTTCATAGTTTACAACGTGGAGGGTTTTAAAAAGTCCTTCTTGGTACATAATTAATATAAAAATCTGCATAAAATACAAAACGAACTTCTAGTGTTTAGTTTGACAGGAGAAAGTACCCTACTGGAAATCCTCAGAGATCAAGACTCTGAGGGGAATAGGGATTCAGGTCATCCCACAGGTGCCTTGGGACCACAGAGGGTCACAGAATGCTGCAGGGGTGGGGTTGCCTGCAGTGTCAGTTCACTAGAAGATGGCAAGGGTGCAAAGGGAGGCTAGCAGTGCTTCCTCTGAGAGTTAGTACTGTCAGTGAAGTGGCTTGAACTCAGACTGCTTACTTCTTGGTCTGAAAACCTGGGAGATGTGTTTGTTTCAGAGTTACTGCAAGAGTGACAGTATTTCCAGATAACTTCTCTGAGACCCTGAGCAATTTAAGAGTGTATTGGGCAAACCATACCCGGATCCAGTTTTAGAAGATGCTGAGGGTTAAGATGATTGATGGAGAGGGAAGCAGAGCTGTCTTTTAGTAATTGTGCTCTAAAGGGTTGCTCTGAGTCATAATCGACTTGATGGTAGTGGGTTTGTGTTTGGTTATTATACATATGAAGACCTCTTTCAGTGTTTATCTCCATTGATTCTGAGAAAAAGTCAAGCCATTATTCTTACCATTGTTCTTCCATATGCAGTGTTTTTTTTTTTAACTGAAAAAAAAAAAAACCAACAAAAAAACAGGCTGCTTTTAATATTTTCTGCGTTTTTTTGTTTGTTTGTTTTGTTCCTGTTGTTAGGTGCTGTTGAATCGGCTCTGACTCATAGCAACCCTGTGTACAACAGAAAGAAACACTGCCCAGTCCTGCTCCAGCCTCACAATCCTTGCTATACCTGAGCCCATTTTACAGCCACTGTGTCTGTCCATCTCATTGAGGGCCTTCCTCTTTTCCACTGACCCTCCACTTTATAAAGCATGATCTCCTTCTCCAGGGGTTGGTCCCTTCTGACATGACCAAATTAGGTGAGATGAAGTGTAGCCATTCTTGCTTCCAAGGAGTATTATGGCTACATTGCTTCCACGACAGATGTGTTTGTTTTTCTGACAGTCTGTGATACTTTCAGTATTCAGCACCACAACTCAAAAACGTCAACTTTTCTTCAGTCTTCCTAGTTCATGGTCCAGCTTTCATATGCATATGAGGCAGTTGAAAACACCATGGCTTGGGTAGCCACACTTTAGTCTTCAAGGAGACATCTTTGCTCTTCTGCACTTTAAAGAGGTCTTTTGCAGCATATTTGCCTACCACTCATCTGTCAGTTTGTCATACTGTAGTGGCTTGAGTGTTGATGTGAGGCTAGAGGCTATGCCACCAGTATTTCAAATACTAGCAGGGTCACCCATGGTGGACAGATTTCAGCAGAGCTTCCAGACTAAGACAGACTTGGAAGAAGAAAGGGACCATCTACTTCTCAAAGAGTTGGCCAGTGCAAACCTCATGAATAGGTTTTGTTTTTACAGTTAAAGAATTCCCTGTGCGTGGATGTGGATTTTTCTTTTGTCCTATCTGGGGTTTCCATAAGTTGCTAGCATTTATAGTCTGTTTTTTTTTCTTTTTCCTTCTAGATTTAGAAACTTTTGAACTGTTACATTGTTAAATATCGTGCTCTTTTTTCTTCTACCCTACCTACCCAGACTCCATTATACAGCTGTTTGAGTATTGTTGAGGTTCTGTTTATTATTTTCAATTTTTTTTCTCTTTCTTAATTTAATTAATTTGTATTGATCCATTTTTAAGGCCAGGATTCTTTGTTTTGTTGGGTCTAATCCAAAACTTAACCAAAAAGATCTTCATTACAGAATTTATGTTTTTCGGATCTCTTACTTCTGTATGGTTCTTTTTTAGAGTTTTTATATCTTGACAGTTCTCATCTCTTCACTCATTATACCATAAGTTTTAAAACGTATTTCTATAACTAGTTTCTGTTGAGCTGACTCTGACTAATGGTGACCCATGTGTGTCAGGGCAGAATTGAGCTCCATTGGGTTTTCTTCCTTTTCTAAAAAATTATTTAATTTTTTTATTTTTGTTGAAATTTTATATAGCAAAACATACACTAATTCAAAAATTTCTACATGTACAATTCAGTCACACTGATTACATTCCTTAAGTTTTGCAACTGTTCTCACCCTCCTTTTTCAAATTGTTTTTCCCTCATTAATCCATAGGGTTTTCAGTGACTGATTTTTCAGAAGCAGATCTTCAGGCCTTTCTTCCAAGGTGCCTCTGAGTAGTCTCAAACCTTTAACCTTTCTGCTCATTTGCTCCACAATTATGTTAAATTTTTTTGTGGGCTAATGCCAACATCTGGGTTACCTGTTAGTCTACAATTACTCAAAAGTTTATTCATTGCAGTCAATTATTCATTGGATCATCTTCACATATCTAATAATTTTTATTATATTTTGGATGTTTTAGATAGTGCATTGTGTTGGCTCTGATTTCTGTAACTGTCCTTTGAAGAATATTGAGTTTATTTTAGCAGGTAAACCACATATGTGACAAGCTCTTGGATCACAGGTGCCTTGAATTTAGGTTTTATTTTTTATTTATTCTTAATACTGGTTTTGGGCCTATAATTTTAAGAATGGCTCTTCTAGGGTTTTCATGGAAACTTTGACATCTCTTTCTCTCCATCTCTCCCAACTTGATAGAACTTGAAATTCAGACCCTATGCTCTCAGCCCTGGACAGCTGTAGGAATCTGCCCAGTCTTCTAACAGTTCCTTTACACTGGGTTCTTCATATTCTCATTCATGCATGGTTTTGGAATCAGTCATGGACTTGAGACTGGCTTTTGTCCTGTGGTTTCTCTCTTTAAGGTTTCTTCTTCTTGATTCTCTGATGACTCTGGTAAGCCTGGGTTCTGTGTCTGGCTGCAGTCCATTGACACTGCCACTTTCTGCCACTTCAGGACTAGAGTGGGTCTGCTCAGTTTACCTGTGCCAAGATTCTGTCCAGTCCAATTTTTGTTGCTTTTGGATCTTCTCTGGTGCCTCCAAACAGTTTTTTTTCAGTATTCAGCATATGAATAATTTTTAGAATAATATTTAGAATAATAATTTTCTAAATATTTTATCCAGAGTTTATAATTATTATCAACAGGGCTTCAGTACAGTACAGACTAACTCTCTGATACCAGTACACCTAGCTCAGTCTAGCTTTGAATTCTCAGATTTTAGGATGGAACCTGCTACTTCAGACTTCACAGCAAAACCCTGGGCTTTGGCCCATCCTAGGTACTAGAAGGCTCTAAGGTATCCTCTGTTTCTTCATTACTTCTTCACACATTCAGTTTTTTCAAAAATAGCCAGTTAGAGAATCTGTGAGAGCAACTGGAGATGAGAAGTAGTTATAGGTAGATCAGTGAGAGTTTTTATGTACAGGGCCCCAAATTGCAGGCATGGTGATGAACATCTCAGATTTAATTTATTATTTATTGCAGGTAATTTTTCAACTAATCTTCCTTTTTCAGTTTTTTTTAATAATACTTAATATCCAAATGAGTTATTTTCCCCATGAATAATTGAGCATTGATTGGTGGCACATAAGACAGTTTTATGTTGTTTCTGGCCTGTTTTACAGAAAGAAATGGATGAATTGTGGAAAATATCACAGGGCCACGTGAAAAGCCAGGGAATCTGGGCACAGTTGCTAGTGGGAGGGACTGGCTTACTTCTTCCCTGCTTAGGTCTTCTCTATCTGTACACTTAGCTCAGGGTTTGGAGCATTAACAGTAGGTCGGTTTACCAGATTCTCTGTCTGCTGAAGCTGTCCGGCAAGTTATTTGATGGCTACGTCTTTCCTCTGCGTTAAATTTTGAAGCTTGTCTTTACCAACATGTTTTATCAGTACTAAAATATGTATATATGGGTTTTCTATACTTTTTTAATGTAGCTCATTGTAGAAGCCCATGCATTTCTTAAGTTAACTGGTTGCCCTTTATACACCCATAGGCAGCTGCTCTGGCTGTGTGCCAGTGTTTAGCTGTGGAGTCCACACACCCATCAAGCCCTGTGTGTGAGGACTGCAGCTCTAGTGAGGCTACAACGCCTGTCACAGCACAGCACACGCGCCCCATCAGAGTACGGAAGCGGAAGCAGTCACCTATCCCAGCTCTCCCCATCATCGTTCAGCTTATGGAAATGGGATTTCCTAGAAGAAACATTGAGTTTGCACTGAAATCTCTTACTGGTGCTTCTGGGAATACTTCAGTGTTGCCTGGTATTGTGTTTTCTTTATTGGTGTTTTATTTGTTTCATTTAATGGGTTAATTATTATTTACCCTTGGATTTATACTTAAACACTAGTATAAGAATACGTGCCAGCTCTGTTCACCCTTACTGCATCCATTAGTGCCTGTGTGCATTTATTTCTAGGTGTTGAGGCATTGGTCGGGTGGCTGCTGGACCACTCTGACATCCAGATCACTGATCTCTCAGATGCAGAAACAATGTCAGATGAGTATTCAGATGAGGAGATGATGGAAGACGTGGATGATGCAGCTTATCCTGTGGTCAGTGTCTTCACAGCTTACTTACATGCATGTCTATTGAATCCTGTCTTGACTTTTGTTCTTCTACACCAGCAAAGAGATTGCCGAAAAAAAAATAAGGAAATCAATACCATTTACAGTGTTGTTGTTGTTGTTGTTATGTGCCGTCAAGTCGGACCTGACTCATAGCGACCCCTCCTTGGGTTTCCGAGGCAGTATCACTACGGAAGTAGATTGCCCCATCTTCCTTCAGATACCAAAAAAATTAAATACTTGGGGATAAATCTTAACAGGGACACAAAAGACCTCTACAAAGAAAACTATAAAAGACTACTTCAAGAAACTGTAAGAGATCTACATAAATGAAAGAACATACCATGCTCATGGATAGGAAGATTGAACATTTTGAAAATGTCAGTTCTACCCAAAGCAATCTGTACATTCAATGCAATCCCAATCCAGATCCCATCAACATTTTTTAAGGATATGGAAAAACCAATCACTAACTTTATATGGATAAGCAAAGCACTATTGAAGAAGAGGAACAAAGTAGGTGGTCTCACACTGCCAGATCTCAAAACCTACTATACAGCCACAGTAGTCAAAACTGCCTGGTATTGGTATGATGACACACACATAGACCAATGGAATAGAACTGAGAACCCAGAAATAGATCCATCAACCTATGGCCAGCTGATCTTTGACAGAGGGCTGAAATCCATTAAATGGGGAAGAGAATGTTTATTTAATAAATGGTGCTGGCAAAACTGGATATCTGTTTGCAGAAAAATGAAACAAGATCTGTAGTTCACACCATACACAAAAACGAACTCCAGATGGATCAAAGACTTAAATGTGAAACCTAAAACTTTAGCGTTCCTCAAGGAAAAACTAGGGGCAAATTTAGGGGCCCTAATATATTGCCCTTATGAACCCTTTTGCACATACAAGTACTGCATTGTCAGTGAAGGCAAACATAGCTATGTGGGTGAATAGATGGGTGGACAGGCTGAACAATTAGGTCTGTGTGGGCAGGGGGGAGTGTGCCCAAGACTGTGTATAGGATTGGCAGACACTGTTTCTACAAGTGTGTTTGTATATTCTGTAAGAATTCCCAGGTGTATTGTAGAGATGACAAGGGACAAGGTTATAGTCCTTTCCTGGCCACAGCCAGCTATGCAGAGGAAGTGATTAGTTGAACCTGTGGGCTAGGACCATAGTCGCAGGGGACGTCAACCTCAATTGGCATGACGCACTACAAAACATTGTTCCATCTCCTTTAGTGAGTAGTGACTGGGATCGCGAAAGCTTGCAAGTAGCCATCTAGATGCAACGATGGGTCTCTCCTCATCTAGAGCAAAGAAGAATGAAGAAAACCAAAGATTCATGGAAACAATTAGTCTAAGTGACTGGTACACCATGTGATCCTTAGCCTATATGACTGTGAGACCAGGAGAACTAGATGGTGCTCTGCTACCATTGTTAATCACTTGGAGGGGAATCTGTGTAGGAGATCTTGGATAGAGTGGGAGAACAATGTGGAACAAAACTCAAAACCATTTGGGAAAAAAGTTTGCTGGTCTGATAGAGCCTGGTGGGACCACTGAGACTGTGGCCCCTAGCTGCCTTTCAGGTCTGAAATTGAATACACACCTGTGGCTTCCAGCCAAGCAAAAGACAGGCATAGGAGTTGAACATTTACCTGAGGTAGATCCACTTCTTGGAGAGAACAATCATGTGAGAAAGAAGGGATGTTTATGCACAGGGAGACAGCTCGGGGCAGGATTGCATGGAGGGATGGATACAGTGAAGAGGTGACAGTTGAAGTGTGGGGGAGCTGTTTTATTGTGGTGAATTATAGTCAGTGTCATGAGACAAAGTATGTGTGAACTGCTGTATGGAAAGTGAATTTGCTCTGTAAACTTTCACCCAAATCACAAAAAACAGCACAAAAAAGAACCAACTATATCTACTGAGGACTGTTTGATCATTCTATCTACTGTCTTTTTGAGCACATAGCAAATATCTCTTTATTTCACTTTTGAAGTAATTGTATCTTAAGTATGTTTAGCTTATAAAAAGACCCTGCTTCAAAAATGAATCGTTTTGGGTGGCCATTAGAAGGTAATTTATATAAAAAAAAAAAATAATAATATGTTTGGTATGATACATTGATTTCCTTTTTTAAATTTTATTGTGGTTTAGGTATAAATTTACAAAACAGATTTGTTTTACATTCAACATTTTGTGCACATTTGATTTCCTTCTGTGATTACCATCCCCTACCATAACAAACTCTCCTCCCCTCTTGTCCCTGTGACTATCATTCCCTGTCCCCTTCTTAACTATGCATTCCTGTATGTCCAGCTTTCCCTCTTGTGTGAATGCTGCCCCTGTGGTATCTCATGGCTGATTGCTCTAAGGGTAACATCTTCCTAGACTAGGTGGTTGCATTGCCCTGGAGTGGGTGTTCTGCATGTAGGTCTTTCTGCTGTTGGGCTGAGGGCCGAACCATGGGAGTGAGTCCATTTCTAGGCCCAAAGGGTAAGCTGGGGCTATAGTCTTGGGGGTTCTACCAGTCTCTATTAGACAAATAATTCTGGTCATTTTTGTGTCTTTGAATTTTGTTCCACATTTTTCCTCCCACTCTACCCAGGATCTCCAGTTTTGGTCCCTTTCTGAGTGGTTGGCATTGGTAGCTGAGTACCATGTAGTTCTTCTGGTCTCAGGGTTGTGAAGGTGAGGTCCTCATGGTCCTTCTTGTCCTTGGACTGATTGTTTTGAGTTGCCTTTGAATTTCTTCACTCTTCTTTGATTCAAATGAGAGGAGACTAATAGTTGCATCTTAGATGGCTGTTTGAAAGCCTTTAAGACTCCAGTCGCTACTGACTAAAGTAGGTTGTAGAATGAGATTTTTATGTACTATGTTGGTGAATTGAGCATGATGTTGCCCAAGACTGTTGCCCCGAGTAGGCAGGTGATTCTCTCTCTCTCAAGGTGTTTGGTTGTTTCTGAGAAGTTACTCCAACTCTGCCTTCTGTTTTTTCTGTAATGTATGTGCCTAATTTCATAGCACCAAGTGCATGTGTAAGGTTATATTCAGCCAGATCTATCCTTGGTCTAGGGTATATTCCTGTTCGTCTATCATGACCTAATCTTCTCACCTGTCTGTGCATTCATCTGTAGCCTGCTGTTTGGTGAAAATGGTAATGCAGTATTGTGCATATACTAGTGTTTGCCTCTGTTGTCTATATCTTAGACACATTGATTTCTGAATAAAATGTTTTTGAGTATATTGTTTCATAGGATTAGTTTGGAAATGCCTTGGAAATTTTCTGTATTTGTAACTTTTAAAATTTATTTCTACATGCTTTGTTACTGCTGTTAATCTTTTCTCAATGAAAATTTTTATAATAAAAATGTGGTCTTCAATATTTCATTTTTTACTTGTATAGATTTCACAAACTACTTTCTTTTTAAGTAGGTGTATCGAGTTTATCATTGTTAATTATATCTTTTGTAGTCTACTGGTGCTGTTGTAACGGAGAGCCAGACTTACAAAAAACGAGCTGATTTCTTAAGCAATGATGATTATGCTGTGTATGTGAGAGAAAATATTCAGGTGAGTAAATTGTCTTAAACTGTAGTCTGCACATTTATTTATTTTGCAACTATTTGAGCATCTACTATTCGCTCATAAGTGAACAAAGGAGCCTACATTCTAGTGGTGGAAGGCAGATAATAAACATAACACATAAATTAGATCGTATATTATTGGGTGATGCATACCAAGGATATGAGAAAGAACAGGGTGGAGTAAAGGGGTCAGTGTGGGAGAGGAAGCATGAATGTGCTTAGAATGAGGTGATTGTTGAAAAGGTGTACAGATTAAGTTCGTGTGGACAGCTGACAAGTAAGCCTTTTTTGGGAAAGTGAGAACACTGGTCAGAGGCTTGTCTTGCCTGCTCATCTGGCAGAGAGGTCAGTGTGATTGGAACAGAGTTATCATTGGGTGTGGAGTAAATGAGCAAGGGGCCTTAAGTGTGGCTTGTTCATAATGGACATGGTTTGGAGGTGTGTGTTTTTTGATTATCCCTTTTTGATACCTTTGTATCCATTTTTGCTTGTTTTTCTTATATCATTCTCAATTGCCATCTAATTTTTCAAATCTAGTTATGTTTTATGTAGTCCTATATCCATCTCTCAGATCCTTTCTTTTCTTTTGTTATTTCCTAGAAAATCTCAGACATGATCTCATTTCACCTGTAGATATGTAACTAAGCATCCCTAATAGATAAAGGATTTTATTTTTAGCATAATGATACTAATGTTGTTTAATATTTCCTAACAAAGTAAATAATAATTTCGTAATTGTCCTCTCATACCCATTACCTGCTCAGATTTTCCCAATTTTGTCAAAAATGCCTTTTTGCAGTTTCTAAGTTTTAGCACATACAAGATCACATTATATTTGGGATGTATGTCTCCAAAGTCTCCTTTATCCTAGAACGGTTCTTTCCTCTTTTTTCTTCTCTTTTCTAGCCATTTATTTGTAAGTGACAGTATGTCCTGAAAAATATCTTATAGTCTAGACATTTTGGTGGCTTCCTTGTAGTGTCATCTAATTATTTCTCTGCCCCTTGTGTCTCCTCTAATGTAGGAGTTGGAACTGAAAGATGCTTAGACTCAAGCAGGGAGTTCTTCCTACAGCATTGTAGCAGTCAGTAGGCACATAGTATTTGGTCATCCCACACATAGTAAAATTAAGATTGATTAGTGGCCATTATATTGTCCCATCATTATAATATGTTCCATTAATTTTTCAGTAGCCATTAATGGTTGTCTCCATTAATGGTTATTGTTCATTATCTGCACAGTAATGTTATACTGATTTTGTCATCTCTTCTGAATGTATTAGCTGGAGTTGAATCCTGTGAAGAAAACTTTATCATTAATTCTGGTTATCCTTTGTAATACAGTGTGTACAGAAAAGGCAGATTAAATGCTTGGTTTTGTTTGTTTGTTTTACATTCTCTTTATTAATTTTCAGAATGGTGAATTTACACAATTCACCTGCTTACACAAGTGACTAGGAAGCCTTAATTTATTGAGTATCATCATGGGTATTACTAACTTTTTTATTTGCTTGGTTTCAGCTATACAACCATTATTCCTTTTGATGATCAAATTGTCCTTTGAATGAACCTATTAATCTTTGATAGCTCCCTTGCTTTCATCAAGGTTTGATCCCTTGATAAGTTGATCAAAGTTTCTCTTCTATATTTTCTGCACGAGGCATAGAGCCAGTCATTTCTCTAAGGACCTCTGGCTCCATTTAGCATAGGCCACTCTAGTGCTAGAGAAAATCCTTGTTAAGAATTTGTTGTTACTGTTAGGTGTCATCAAATTGGTGACTCTATGTAAAACAGAAGAAAACACTGCCCATTACTGCACAGTTGTTGCCATTCTTAAGCCCCATTGTTTTTCCGTTTTTTGCTGACTCTCTACTTTACCAAGTATGATGTGCTTCTCCAGGAATGGGTCCCTTCTGACAATATGGCCAAAGTATGAGAGATGAAATCAGACCATTCTTGCTTTAAGGAGCATCACACCTGTAGTTCCTCCAAGACAAGATTTGATCTTTCCTCTAGCAGTCCATGTTATATTTAGTATTCTTTGCCAGCACCATACCTCAAATGTATCAATTCTTCTGCAATCTCCTTTATTCATTTTCCAGCTTTGACATGCATTTGAGGCTATTAAAAATAGCATGGCTTGGGTTGGACATACCTTCAAAATGACTCACTCTAACATTTTAAAGAGGTCATTTTTATTATTTATAATTGTTCATTTAATATCTGTACATAGAACTAGATTTTTTATTTAATTTTTATTGTAGGTGGGAATGATGGTTAGATGCTGTCGAACATATGAGGAAGTTTGTGAAGGCGACGTGGGAAAAGTTATCAAACTGGACAGAGATGGATTACATGATCTCAATGTGCAGTGTGATTGGCAACAGAAAGGAGGCACTTACTGGGTTAGATATATTCACGTTGAACTTATCGGTGAGCATTATTTATTAAATTCTCTTGCTTTATCTTAATTAGAGACAGACTTCCCAGAATTGAATGCTAATTATAATGCATTTATTGTTTAAATCTCTAGGCTATCCACCACCAGGTTCTCCTTCTCACATCAAGATTGGTGATAAAGTACGGGTCAAAACTTCAGTTACTACACCAAAATACAAATGGGGATCTGTAACTCATCAAAGCATGGGGGTTGTGAAAGGTAATATTATCCAGGCAAAAATATTCCAAGTGGTTTCTTTAACTAATGTAATTTAAATTCTTTTTACAGCCAAGGACAAGAATAAAACAAGTGTGAAGAAAGCCTTAGGACAGCTAAAGAGTATTATTTTATTTTTGGGGTGTTAATGTCCTCTAGATAGAGGTTACCAGAAATACATATATTTTTGAGCAAAGTCCAGTTTATTAAGTCATTGCAACATACTCTGAGAAATTCAGGTATTTCTGTTAAAGGGTGTGAGAAAAGATTAATTTAGGTGATTTTGGGGAGGGTTCAAGGAAACAGGGTAATTCTAAGACTAGATAGCTTAATAAGTTTTATCTAGAAGGCAGGAAGAATGGAGGGATGATAATGTTTTGATTGGTAAAAAAAGTAGAGGCCATTCAAATGAGCCAGGACAGGTTTGTGGTTTGGACTAGATTTGAATTTGATCAGAAGTGTTTAAGGAGTGGTCTTTATTTTATCTAATCCATCAAAGTCATGAAATAGCCTTATCTGATGTTGATATTCTGTAAACTGTTCTAACAGTATTGAGGAGTCACTGAGTTTCAGGCCCGCTTCCTTTGTCAGGGATTGCATCTCTTTTTCTGATTCTACACTCCTCGGAAGGAAGGTTGGGCAATCCTACTTCCGTAGTGATACTGCCACGGAAACCCAAGGAGGGGTCGCTATGAGTCGGGGCCGACTCGACGGCATACAACAACAACAACAACAACAACAACAACAACAACATATAAAAGTTTGGTGTTTAACTTGAGAAATAGAAGTATGCAGAAACTGGAAGTATTGTTTCTCCAGAACCAAAATCACTGCCATTGTGTCCATCCTAACTCATAGCGACCATGTGCAACAGAGTAGAACTGCCCCCATAGGATTTCCAAGGTTGTAACTCTTCACGGAAGCAGACTGTCCCATCTTTCTCCGACAGTGTGACTGGTGGATTTTAACCACTGACCTTTTGGTTAGTAGCTGAATGCTTTAAAGACTGTACCACCAAAGCTTCTGTGTTGTTTCTAGGAACTGGAATGAGATATTATTGAGAGTCCAAACATATACTTTAGAAGGTAAATTTTGCCCACTTTAACAATTACATGAGAAATAATTAAATATGACATGTTTTCTTTTAAAAACCTTTTGATGCCATAAAGGGATTATTTTTCAGCTTGGATGCTCTATTTCTTTCAAACAGATTAGAAATTGTCCACAGAAATGATCCTTCCACAGCAGATGTGGGGGGTTAGAGTTTTTCAGGTTACTTAAGAACAAATGGCTTATTTAATATTTTACTTTAACATTTTCTTTGCTTAAGAGATTCTTAAATTTTCACATAACAAAAAAGTTTTAAAACTTAAAATTTGGAAATAGAAGTTAAATATTTGAGTACCATATTAGTCTTATCAAAGGCTAAGAGAAGTCTTAATTATTAAAATAATTATAAATGTAATTTTTATTTCCTAAGATACTGAAAGTATTAAATGAAGTTTTTGATTTGGTGTAACTAAGAAAAGAAAATTTCAAACATGCAAAGGTAGAGAAAATAGTATAATTAAACTCCATGTAGTCATTACCCAACTTCAACTGTTGTCAACTCATGGTCCACACTCTTTCATCTGTAATCCCTTCTTTTGATTATTTTGAACGTAAGCTCTGAAATCATGATTTCTCATCCATAAATATTTTATTTTGTATGCTTAAAAAAATAAGTACTCTCTATAAAACATAATTATAGTATAATTTTATATGGCTACTCATAAATTTAATTTAATTTTACGTTTTTACTGGTGATGAACATTTTAAGCAATTTCTATTCTATCGTAGCTTTCAGTGCCAATGGAAAAGATGTTATTGTCGATTTTCCTCAGCAGTCCCACTGGACAGGGTTGTTATCAGAAATGGAGTTGGTACCTAGTATTCATCCTGGGGTTACGTAAGTCCTGACTTTCAAATTGAAGGTGGTTTTGGGAAAAATGTTTTTTTTTTTCTAATTAAGTTTATTAAATGAGTTTTCTTATCTTCTCAATGGATGTTTTAAAAAATAGGTGTGATGGATGTCAGATGTTTCCTATCAATGGATCTAGATTTAAATGCAGAAACTGTGATGACTTTGATTTTTGTGAAACGTGTTTCAAGACCAAAAAACACAACATCAAGCATACATTTGGCAGAATAAATGAACCAGGTATGGTAGTACAGTTATATTCTCTCTTCCATCAGATATTATTGAGTTAATCTGTAGACACAAATCTATTTTATTTTGCTGTATTAAGGTTCATATTTGTACAGTGAGCACTGCACAGTGAGCATAATGAAACAGGAGAGAGGCCTATCTACTGTTGATTTGCAATTTTTTAAATAAGAAAAGGGGAAAATAAGGATAACTAGCGTTTGCTTGCTTGTGTTTCCATAAAAGAAACATTAGAATTGAGCTGGAGAATAAGTCTTTTTACTTATATGCCTTTTTATGTTATTTTGATGGACCATATACCTATCACAAAAAAGATAGCAATTATATTTTTCAAAATTAGATATTCCTTGCTAAAAGTAACAGATAAATAAAAATGCATTTTATTTTATTCACAGGGCAAATTGTTACTTTTACCTGTGCTGTGATTATATTTTTGTTTCAGAATTGTGTAGGAGTTCTGGTTGTACAGTGGTTAAGGCTGCTAACCAAAAGGTCTGCAGTTCGAACCCACCAGCCTCCTCCACAGGAGAAGGATGAAGCAATCTGCTTTTGTGAAGATTTACAGCCTTGGAAACCTGTGAGACAGTTTTACTCTGTCTTACAGAGTCAGTATGAGTCGGAATCAACTCACAGACAGTTTGGTTTTGGTTTTCAGGATTGAGTATGATGGGACAGAGGCACTGTTTTTAGAGAGTACCTTTTTTTTGAAATTGCAACATGCAATGTATTTAAAAAATATAAGAAACTAAAGTGTACTGCTCAGTGATTTATTTTAAGGTGGAACTGTGGAAAACTGACACTTAGGTCAAGAAACAGAACATTGCCAGCTCCCCAGATGCCCTCTTAATGTCCTTTTCCAGGCGTTATTCTCTTGTTCTCCCACAAAAGCAGCCACCTGACCTGAAAGGAATTGCCTCCTTGCTTTACCACCTATGTTTATATGCCTGCTGCCAGAAACACTATAGTTTGGCCTGGTTTTGAAAGTTTTATATATGGATGCATATAGTATCTGTTGTATTGTGCCTATTCTAATTTGCTTAACTCTGTGTTTGTGAAATTCCTCAATGTTCTTGCTTGTAACTCTAGTTTGCTTACCTTTGTAACTGTGTAGTACAATACATATTATGTAGATAGAGTCACACACAATTATGTAGATACACACAACTTATTTAACCATCTACTATTGATTAGACATTAGAGTTGTTTCAGCTTTAAACTATTTCTCATAATATATGCCTCTTGTTGTATTTTTTTTTTTTTTAAACATTGATTCAGAGGTTGCATCTCCTTAGAGTTAGGTGGGTACATTGACCTTGGGTAGGTGTTCTGTAAGTAGGTCTTTCTGCTGTTGGGCTGAGAGCCAGTTCATGGAAGTGAGTCCATCTCTAGGCCTGAAGGGTAACCCAGGGCCATAGTCTCAGAGTTCCACCAGTCTATCCAACCAGTAATTCTGATCATTTTTGTGTTTTTGAATTTTTTTCCACAACTTTCCTGTCACCCTATGCAGGATCTCCAGTTTTGATCCCTTTCTGAGTGGTTGGCATTGGTAGCTGGGCACCATCTAGTTCTTCTGGTCTCGAGGTCGTGGAGGCTGAGGTCCTCATGGTCCATCTTATCTCTGGAGTAATTATTTCAGTATGCCTTTTATTTTCTTTCTTCTTTGCTCCAGATGAGAGGAAACCAAAAGTTGGATCGTAGATGGCCACTCTAAAGCTTTTAAGACCCCAGTCATTACTCACCAAAGTAGGTTGTAGGACAAAATTTATGAACTGTTTTTGCCAATTGATCATGATGTCCCCGAGACTATGGTCCTGAGCCCATAGGCCTGGTGATTCTCACAGGCTGTTTGGTTGTCTGTGAGAAGCTACTCCAACTCTAACTTCTGTTGCTTCTGTAATGTATGTGGCTAATTTTGTAGCACAAATGCATATGTAAAATGATCTTCAGCCAAATCTCGTTGCATGTTTGTGTAAAGTATATATATCATTAACTTTAGCAGATACTGTCAAATCATTTTCTAAAGCGATTATGTTTACCTGTATTCCCATCAATAATATATGGAAGTTTCAGTTACTTCATGTTGGTTGTTTTCTCTATTTTATTACATTTTGAATTTATCTTTTTGTAAATACCATAATAATTTAATTATTTAAAGTGTTGATCTCCAGTAGTACTAATTGCCATCTTGTTTGTTGTCCTTCCTCAATAAAAGTTTAACTGTGCTTTTTTTTTTTTTTTAATGTGAGTTGAGTGAAAGTATACAGAACAAATTCACATTCCATATAGCAGTTCACATATGTTTTGTCTCAAGACATTGACTGTAAGCTCCCACAAGCTCTCCTCCCACTTCTTCCCCATAGCCACCTCTTCCCTGTGCCCTTCCCTCCCATGCACTCCTGCCCAGGGGCTATCTCGCTGTGCATCCACTGTCCTTCTATTCTCCCATGATTTATGTCTCCAAGGAGAGTATCTTTCTGATGTAAATATTCAGCTTACATGTCTGTCTTTTGTTTGGCTGGAAGCCACTGGAGTGGGTTCAATTCCAGACCTGAAGGGCAGCTAGGGGCCATAGTCTGAGGGGTTCCATCATGCTTTTTCAGACTAGAAAACCTGGTCCCTTTTTTTTTTTTTAAATGATATTGAGATTTGTTCCACATTGTTCTCCCACTCTATCCAGGATCTCCTACATAGATACCACTCTGAGTGGTTGATCCTGGTAGCTGGGCACAATGTAGTTCTTCTGGTCTCATAGTCATTAGGCTGAGGATCACATGGTGCACCAGTCACTTGGACTAATTGTCTCCATGGATCTTTGCTTTTCTTCATTCTTCTTTGCTCTGGATAATGAGAAACCCATCATTGCATCTAGATGACCTCTTGCAAGCTTTTAAGATCCCAGTCACCACTCACCAAAGTAGGATATGTAACAGTGTTTTTGTGTAGTTTGTTGCCAGTTGAGCTTGATGTCCCCTCAGACCATGGTCCTGCGCCCACAGGTCCAACTGCTTGCTCCCTCTGGGTAGCTGGCTGTGGACAAGAAGTGACTACAACCTTGTCTTGTCAGCTTTACAATATACCTAGAAATTCTTACACAACATACAAGTAAACTATGGAAACATTGTCTGCCAGCCCTATACATAGTTATGGGCACACTGCCCTTTGTATAGACATACCTAATCATTCAGCCTGTCCACCCATATTTCACCTGTAGATAAGTGTTTGTCATTACTGACAATGCAGTATTTTATGTGCAAAGTGATTCGTGTTGTGTGTATTTCCCATGCACCTCTCTATGTCTTCTTCTTCCTCAGTGCTACTGTGTTGATCAGTCATGTGGTACATTGCCCTTCACCCAAATCAATACTTGTCTCTACCTATCTAGCAGTGTTCTCTCCCCTCCCCTGCCACCCTTGATAACCAATAAAGACAATTCCTTCCAAATATAAACCTTTCCTTGACTTTTTACAAAACAGACTAAAACAGTATTTGTCCTTTTGTGATTGACTTATTTTACCAGCATAATAGCGTAGTACCTAAGGCACTTGACTGCTAACCAGAAGGCTGGTGGTTCAAACCCATCAGCCACTCCTTGGAAGGAAGGTTGGGCAATCTACTTCTGTGGTGATACCGCCTTGGAAACCCAAGGATGGGTCGTTATGAGTCGAATCCGACTCAACAGCGGTAGGTTTGGTTTTGGTTTTTAATGACTAATGATGGTGAACATTTCTTCATGTGTGTGTTGGCCACCAGAATACCCTTTTGGTGAAGTGTCTATTCATATCTTATGCACATTTTTTAATTGGATAATTTGTCTTTCTGTTGTTGAGGTGTTGAAGTTTTCTATAAATTTTAGAGATAAGTCTCTTATCAGGTATGTCGTTGCTGAATATTTTTTCCCAATCTGTAGGTTCTCTTCTTATTCTTTTGGAGAAGTCTTTGAAAGCATATAAAAATTTAATTTTTAGAAGGTCCCATTCATCTAGTTTATCTTAAGCTGTTTATGAATTTTGGGTTATGCTTGATGATCTATTTATGCCATAAATGAGGGCCCCTAAATTTGCCCCTCATTTTTCTTTGAGGAGCTTTATAATTTTAGGTTTCACATTTACATCTTTGATCCATCTAGGGTTAGTTTTTGTGTATGGTGTGAGGTACAGATCTTGTTTCATTTTTCTGCAAATGAATATCCAGTTTTGCCAGGACCATTTGTTAAAGAGACCCTGTCTTCCCCATTTAATGGTTTTCAGCCAAAGATCAAAACTCCATAGGTTGATGGATCTGTTTCTTGGTTCTCAATTCTATTCCATTGGTCTATGTGTCTGTCTTCGTACTGATACCAGGCAGTTTTGACAATTATTAAAGTTAGTGATTGGTTTCCTCATATCATCCTTAAAGAATGTTGATGGGATCTGGATTGCGAATGCATTAGATGTGTAAATTGCTTCAGCTAGAATTGACATTTTCCCAAAGTTCAGTCTTCTTATCCATGAGCATGGTATGTTCTTCCATTTATGTAGATCTCTTATGGTTTCTTCAAGTAGTCTTTTGTAATATTTTTTGTACAGGTCTTTTATGTCCGTGGTAATATTTATTCCCAAGTATGTATTTATTTTTGGTAGCTATTGTAAATGATATTGATTTCCTTATTTGTATTTCAGCAATCTCTTTGCTGGTGTAGAGGAATCCAACAGCTTTTTTTGAGTATTGATGTTGTATCATGGCACTATGCTAAATCTTTCAATTAGTTCCAGTAGATTTTTTTTTTTTTTTTTTTTAAATCTGAGTCTCTTGGTGACATAGTGAGTGCCTCAGGCATTTGACTGCTAACCAGAAATCTGGCAGTTAAAACCCACCAGCCACTCCTTGGAAGGAAGGTTGGGCAATCTACTTTCATAAAGATACCGCCTTGCAAACCCAAGGAGGGGTTGCTATGAGGTGGATTTTACTCAACGGCAGTGAGTTTCTTTTTTTTTTTCTCCTTGGGTTTTCTGTGT